CTTCTTTGGGGGGGGGGGGAGAAAAATTATATCCATTATTAATGATTGTTTCAACATTTCCACGAGTCTTTTCCATTTGAATTATTTTGAGACCAAATAAATTATTCAAAGTGCTACAAAACAGTTTTCCAGTAAAGGAACCATGGCTGCATATTAAACAATTCATTGATATTTCCCTGCACTTTCAGGAAGCAGGAATGTTTTTTTGTTTTCCCCCACGTTTCTATATCCAAACTAATAACTAGATTTTACAACTAGCATGAGCAAAAATAGCACTCTCAAAACATTCCAGATACAAAGGAAAGTCGCTCCCGATTCCATCCCAATCAAATCTTACTTTATATTTCATCTTTATATATAGATAAACAGAAACGAGAACTATGGTGTGCATGAAAAGAATGAGTCCTGGTAAAAAAAGAATAAGTGATGTAAAATCTGTTTGCATGGATGTACCTCTTAAATTTGTAGATGAGAAATACAGCTAAACCCAAAAACACCACAGACAGAAGCATCAGCATAGCAGAACTGCTGTGTCTCGGGATGGAGTCAACCAGTGGAGCTGTGACAAAGACAAACACAAGTGTTACTCCACACTGACTCTTTTTAATAAGAAAACCAATGTCTTTTATATCTTTATATACACGGCCATTCACGAGTGAATTAAAGAACAACTGATCTTGAATCATTTTACAGAGCATCTCCTGTGACAATTTCCAAAACCCCCTTCGGCTCTCTCAGAGGGACTCCTGCCAATTGTTGGCATCCCTTCAAAATCGTTCATGAGAGCCTTACACCCACTGGCTGTATATTTCCCCCGTGACTATGTTGTAGGAAGACAGCCCCATGAATCCTCTGACCTTTTCGAAAGAATCCTGAAGTCTTTCCAGAACTTTGGTCACAAAAACGGGCCAAGGAGGCGGTCAATGTTTCTCTGTAAAAGTGCATGGGTAATAGCACAGACCGTGAGTCATATATCAGTTAGAGAGTTTGCTCACTACTAGTCGATGCTATTATTGCTGCAAGGAATCAGTAACCATTACCAAGTTATTATAGAAAATGTTAAAGAAGCCAAATTATATAAATGTGGCATATGATGGTAAACAAAATGGATAATACTTAATACAGGATAAATTAGAGTGAATTCAGTAAAAGCATACATGACATCTTTTTATGGTATTCTGGCTCCATTTCAAATTATTTATTCAGCTGGCCAATGTGTTTATCCCAAAAACAGTATTATCAGTATGTGTGTTCACTTGGCATCAAACAAATGACTCTTTCCACCACCAATTACACTACTAGTTTAGCTACAGGAATTGATTCCACTTCATTTGGCTTCTTAATGCTTGTCTTTAGTTCATATAGCAATAGCAAAAACATTTTTTTTTTGAATTAAATACCTAGTGTTATGAATGTGAACATTTGAGTAAAAATTATCGTGTGAACAACCATGACGATCAGTATTGAGAGTTCAGGGAGAGAATCAAGAATCAATCTGATTCAAAGAGTGAGTTGTTAGATTGACTCAAACTGAAAAATATTGTTTATATATTTAAAAAATGTGATTTCTGTGATGGCAAAGCTGAATTTTCAGCATCATTTCTCCAGTCTTCAGTGTCGCATATCGCTAAATCATTCTAATATGCTGATTTGATGCTCTTATTAGCAATGTTGAAAACAGTTTCAAAACAGCTGCTTAATATGTTTGTGTGTAAATCATGATAATTTTTTTCTCAGGATTCTTTGATGAATAGAAAGTTATTTATAAATAGACATCTTTTGTAATATTGTAAATATCGTTACTCTCACTTTTGATCAATTTAACGCAGCCTTGCCACATAAAAGTACTGATTTCTTTAATAAAAGAATCAAGAAAAAAGTGTAGTGTAACTCACAAGTTTAAGACTTGTGATTCTTTCTTCTTTTTAAACCAAATGGTACAAAAAGTCTTTCATTCCCAGTGTTTTGCAACCAGATCAGAATATGAACTGGTTCTCGATTCCCAATCAAAACAATAGACCAGAAAGCCTTATTCTTTTCAGTGCTGACAGTTTTTTCTTCTTCAAAAGTGGGGAGATCATGCAAGCCATGATTGCTGGAGAGCAATTATCCAATTATCTTCCATAAGGCTTTCAGCATCACTGGTGGAGCATAAAAGCCCAATCTTTCAACAATTTATAGTGCTGACAAGCTTCTGGTCTCTGGAAAGCAATCAACGTAATTACCCAGGAGAATCGAGGGAACAGTATATAGCACCCAACAGAGGCTAGAGAGGGAGATCAACTGAAATACCACTGTGAAATGTAATCAAATATAAGCAGTTGCACACTACAGATGTCAACTAAATCATCAAAATAGCTACATACAGTATGTAGCACAACAGTTTTGTTACCTAAAGTTAATTGCGTGATGTAAACGATGACCCGGGAGCCAGGTTTCAACTCGAACTCCACAGAGATCTGATTTAATGCGTTGACCAAGATTTCTGATATCTAGGAAGAAAACAGCATGAAGAAGAGTTAAATACAGACTTGTCATCTCATTGCCTGAAAAAAATATAATTGGTGCTTGCTCACAAAGATGCTATGTGTTTTGTGCATGTAGCTATGCAGTTAGTAAGGGTATTCTACGGCAGGATAAAATAAAATAATTATTTAAGGTACCATTCATGTCAATACAGCACAAACTATGCTGCATGTTTGGTAGCATACACTTTCAGGAAAAAAAAAAAAAAAAAAAGGTACAAAAGCTATCACTGGGGCGGTACCTTTTCAAAAGGAACACTTTGTACCTAAATGAACCATAATGGTAACTTAAAGGTACATATTAGTACCTGCAGTGTACATAGTAGTACCTAAAAGGTATATAAGTGTACCTTTTGAAAAAAAGGTACGGCCCCAGTGACAGCTTTTGTACCTTTTTATCTGAGAGTTTATGTTTGCCCATATGAATCATCCATAAACCGTATTCTGCACTCTTGTTTGTATCAAATGCAGAGCCTACTTTGATATAAGAGTGGAAATTATGCACATTTTAATCTATAATGTCAGACTTTGACAATTATAGATTAATAATTGCGACACACATACCCCATCCCTCGTATCAAACAGGACGAGTTCCAGTGAATACCCAAATGATTTGTTACAGCTCTTTCTGCAGCTTCAATGACAATAAAATTGGCCAAATAGTAAAATGTGCTGTTATTCTTAAGAGTGTAATTTGCCAGTTGTGATTACGCCTGTGAAATATTAAAGAGTAGAGCTTCATTTTATGAAATGGGAGTGTCAGTAGTGTGGGGTTGTGATAATTTGGGTTGTGGATCAAAGAGTTTAAGGGTTTATTTAAAACCCTAAACAGTTATAATGTCTCCACAAGCACTACTATTCAACATTTCACCCGCAAAAAATGTAAATTCAAAAGCCCCTACTGTAAAAGACTCTTGCTGTGACACGTCCTTGTCAAGTAAGCCTAATTAGACACGCGTCTTTCTGCTAGAGATAATGCCTTTAAGGTTAAAGAAAAAAAAGAAAATAGGTAATAGGTAGAAATGTCAAACAATCCCCTTCAGAATATTTTTGACATGTCATCTCTTTTTGCGTTGACAATTACTTTCATTGTAGCCCCGGGTAGAAGCTGCTCTTTTATTCTGATAAAGGTCCATCATTCTCAAGCGCATTTCAACCTTGACCATTAATGAGAAACCATAAAATCTGCATCAGATCTCACCTGCTCCAGATCCTCTTCGGTCCGTTTCCTGCCATCCGATTGGTTCCGGGGAGGAAGCAGGAAGAGTTCAGCCGCAGTCGGAATGCCAGGAAACACGGCCACCAGCAGCTGTTCTTCCGGAATGTCAGCGACCTGGGTGGCGCAGGACAAAACGACACTCATTACATAAGGCTCAATGATTTATATGTTACCGTCTCCAGCATTTACGAGGGTTACACTCATTTTAAACGAGGCTGATGGCTTCCAGTAAATCATATTTTTTGTATACAGAATGAAACCCAGCCAAGAAATGATTAGACGCAAATGCGTGAATGCAAACGGTTCTACACACGTTGAATTCCTAAAAACCTCAATCAATATCTTAGTCAGAGATCCACTACAAAGCCCAAAGGTCTAGACATTACGGGCTGCCGCAAAGCCAATAAAGGAAAGCCCACCTTGTATTCTCCCAGAGATACTCACCAAAGGCCATTTCCCTCATAAAGAGGAAATTATCCGACCTCAGGTAAATAATCTTTGTTTTATCTGGCACTACCACGCAGGGCTCGACCAGTCATAAGACAATAGCTCAGGAATAGACAGCCTAAGCATAATTTACAATGAGCAATGCGGCCAGAGCCGAAGCAGTCTTGCGAATCAATACTCTGAGTCTACGTTTGTACCCACCGCTGCAATATTGGAGAAAGAAAAGCCCTGGAGCTCATTGAAGGATTCAGCCTATGTGCAACTGCTACTGATATTCCTAATGATTAATGCACATCTCCAAACTCCAGCCTTTGTTTCTTTCTCAACACGCTAGATTCGACACACACTCCGTCTGCTTGCGAATTAAGGTCCAAAAAGGCAATTAGACAGCAAAAGAGAGACATAATGTTGCAATGCTCTTAATTACACCCTGCTAATAGCTTAAGAGTCATTGTTGTAATTAAATCGCTTCTTGTCAAAACATTCCCTTCCCAGACTGAAGAACTGTGGAATAACATTAAAAGGCACAGATGCAATAATCCATTATAGCAGAGGACAAAGTTGGTATTAAAGAGGTTGTTTAGATATCTGTTGTGTTTTCTGTCATTGCAGTTCATCTTTCCCTATTTAAGTGCTTGGCTGTGTCTATTATTGACTCTCTGCTAGAATGCAAATTAGCAGATTTACAAGCAAATTTAAACAATTCAACACTTCTAGTATTTTTCATTCATATGTATAGTGCTATATATATATATAAAAAAAAAAAAAACATTACTGTCATCTTAACAGAGAGCATCCAAGGCATCGATGTCAAAGTCCTTGGGCAGTTTTTAAAGCACAACACTCACAGATGAACAATTTACTGAGAATTATTACAAAGCGAGAAATTTGCACAGCATGGGCTGGGTTTTTGCTGGAGAATGTGCCGAAGTGCACTCTGGTCAGGCTGAGAGTCCACATTAGGTAAATACAGTGGGTACGGAAAGTATTCAGACCCCCTTCAATTTTTCACTCTTTGTTATATTGCAGCCATTTGCTAAAATCATGTGGTACAAATGGAAATGCAGTTGGTCCAGTAACAGGAAAACACATTCACTTATATATATAGACTGGAGGTTTGAAGATGAAAGTGTCGTCCTGTTACTGGAGGAACTGAATTTACATTTGCACCAAATCTAGACATATTTACCTAAACTGATATACATATAAATACACACTACCAAAGTTTGGGGTCAGTAAGATTTTTGTTGTTGTTGTTTTCTCTTATGCTCACAAAGGATGCATTCATTTTATTCAAAAATACAGTAAAACTAATATTATGAAATGTTATAAATAAATAAATAAATAAATATTTTAAATATTACAAAAAATATTTTTATATATTAAAAATATTTTAATATTTTATATATTTGCATATTTAAATGATATTTTAGATGATGTTTTAGAAATATATTTTAATATATTTTAAAATTAATTTTATTCCTGTGATGACAAAGCTGAATTTTCAGCATCTTTACTTTAGTCTTCAGTGTCACATGATCCTGAAGAAATTATTCTAATAGTGTGATGATTCTAACATTGCTCAGCGACATGTCTTATCATTATCATTGTTGAAAACCATTGTGCTATATATATAGCAACATTTACTTAAAATTGTATTTATTTACATTTATTTTTTTAAAAATGAAAAAGCCTTCAATGTTACATTTGTTCAATTTAATGCATCCTTGCCAAATAAAAGTATGAATTTATTAAAAAAATTAGCACTTTTATGATGCCATTAAGCTTCAAAAACTATGCAAAAGCACAAAAAAAAAACAATAAAAGTGGTCCATACAACTGATATGCCATATTCAATGTCTTCTGAAGTCAAACAATTGCTTTTCATTAGAAATTATGTTGGTATTGGTAACACCCTCCCTCCCCTGAAATGCCGCTATAAAATAATAATAATAAAACAAATAAATTAACCATTATTAAACGAAACAAAAAAATGAGGCTCCATTTTGACACTTGTGCATATCATTACTCCATGTAAAATGCTGTGAAGTTTAATGGATCATTGATGTCACAAGTACTAACGGGTATTTGTGCCGACTCTCCCCCCCCATGATATCCTATTCTCTCTATACCACACCCATCAATAACAGTGTCAAAAATGCCTAAAATAATAAACAAAACTTGGTCCTTCTTTCAGTATCAAAGTGTTTGTGATTCAAGTCCTGTGCTGACTCAGAGGCACCGGCTCTGCCTTTAACCCCTGCTACTGAAACCTTCTATTCTCATCTCCTCAGGCTGTTATACCACTATTGCCCCGGTGCAGAGAACAGACAGCCCCCTCCACTCACCTCTCCTGCCCATTGCCTCAAACAGCCGTCTTAAATGGACCTTGACTTTGATTATGTCTGAGCCTCGCTCTCCCTCTCTTTTTAATACACTGAGCTGTTTATCAGCGGCAGTATGGATAAAGTGTATCTGCTACCTCTAGGGCACCACGGGATGTGCTTTAAATGCGAGAGGATAAATGAAAGGAACGGGAAAAAGCGAGTCTCTTTACCATGGGAGCTCAATATTAAGCCATTAGGCTTTGAACTTGATGTTGAAACAAAGAGGGGGAAAAGTTGGAAGAGGACAGTTTTACTTCTGGTGAATTCTGGGTAAAGCCAGGGAATCTGAGGCCAGAAAGATAATGAGAGAGAAAGAGCACATGCAGAAGATGGAGGTGCGTTTACGAGCAGATGTGAGATCAGTAGCCTCTTTGTGCTCAGCTGGTCTGACTTTGTTCTCAGGCAGATTCTGTTCTGTATGAGGGAGTTTAGATTTAAGTGTGATATTTAGGGATTTCTGTATTTTTGTGTTTTATGTCTGAAACAGAGAGAGAGAGTATATGGCTGGTTTGATGAGCACAGTCTTTCTAATGAAACAGGAAGCTGAAAAATCACTTCAAACCAGACTAAGCTGGTTTTATGATCTTAGCTGGTCTCTAATGGTCTATTTGCTGGTTTTAGATGGGTTTTGGGTACTTTGGGCAATGTGAGCATGGCTGGCTGCACCCCTAAACCAGCTACACTATTGTAAACCATCTCAAGTCTAGCAGACCAGCTTAGGCTGTTTTAAGCATAAAAGAAACAACACGTGTTAAAATTATATACATTACCATTTAAAAGTTTGGGATAAGTAAGTTTTATTTATTTATTTATTTGAAAGAAACATCTACTTTTATTTAGCAAAGATGCATTAAACTGATCAAAAATGATAGTGAAATATTTTCTAATGTTACAAAAAAAATTTTTTTCAAATAAATTCAGTTATTTTTTTTTTCTGTTCATTTAAGAATTAAGAAAAAATATATCATGGTTTCCACAAAAATATTAAGCAGCACAACTGTTTTCAACATTGATAATAATAAAATGTATTTATTTATTTATTGGTTGATTGATTGATTGATTGATTGAAATGTATACTGTTATTCAGCGAGGATGCATTAAATTGATCAAAAGTGACAGTAAAAAAAAAAAAAAATTCTAATGTTACATTTTTTCCCCAAAATAAATTATTTTGAATTGTCTGTTCATTAAAGAATCCAGAAAAAAAAATGTATCACAGTTTTCACAAAAACATTAAGCAGCACAACTGTTTTAACATTGATAAATATAATCTTTTTAGCACTAAATCAGCATATTAGACTGATTTCTGAAGGATCATGTGACACTGAAGACTGTTGAAAATTTTGCTTTGCCATCACATTAATGTATTTTAAACCTTTTTTTATATATTATTTCACCAATGTATTTATTTATTTACTTACTTCCTTAATGTAAAAAAAATGCAGACTACTCGAGCATAAGAAACCTTTCAAAAGATCTTTCAAAAAATCTAACTGACCCCAAACTTTAGCATAATAGTTCAAACAATTATTGTAATTATTTGGGCATAAACAGATTAAGTTACATTTTAGAATGGACATTTCTGGCAACTTCAACTATCAAGAACAGTTTTATTTCACCTCTGAACATTCCAAACCTGTCCTGCTCTATTATTAAGTTAGCACATATGCATAGCCAATTGAAACCACTGGGATATGATTCTATTTCGATGGACATTTGATATCGAACTGTGACGATCCCAGGGTTGGACTGACAGCTCAGGTACATGTGTATGTGCACTGAGACTGTGTAATGTCAATGTATCGATCAACAGTGGCTTCAGTCTCTCCATCAGCTCTGAACACAACTGAGAACCACTAGCGCCGTTGTCCACCACACACACACACACACACACACACAATACTGCAGACGTACATCTTCACCCAAACACCTCCCCGGAAGACAATGGATTAGTTCCCCTGAGTGCAGTTTACTAACTAGTGATTCACTAGGAATTATGCAAATAGATTAATGCTACCCACAAAATCTGTGTACAACACACTACTGAGACCTGGTGAGTCAGTTCTGAGAGCTAGGTGAGTACTAGATACACTTTACTACTGCATCACGGTGATCCAGACATCTGAATTGGCTCTTCAAAATGTTCTCGTCTACAGGCCGCTTCTGGAAATATCCCCCGTTATAACTGCTGCCGTGATCATCTCTTTAAAATGAAGTTTAATTCACAGCCTGCTTTCTGCGGGCAGTAATATTGTGATGTTAATTGCACCAGGAAAATAGGCGCTGAGTTTTGATATCTATAATAAGCCTGATTTACATATAAAGGACGTGTGTTTGTGCTGAAATGGAAGACAATGACTTAATTTAAACACAGCGCAGTGCTATTTCAGCGCATTTAGCACCTGGTTAAATGGATTGTGGGTGGTTAGCAAATAAGATGCAGGATTTTGGGATGCAATGCGACAATAGTGGTGAACTGGTTAGTGAATTCTCCCCTTTGTGTCATGAGGAGTTTGAGCAATCGTGAAAGGCAAAAGAAAACATTACAGAAACGACGTAATTCGTAATTCATATCTCGCATTACAGTGAAAATATCTAAATATGTGACAACATTTTTTTTTCTTGATCATAAAAATATTAAATACACAATTGTTTTAAATATAAACAAAGAGACATTAAAAACTGAGAAACAACACAAATAAAACCGTTTTCTGTATTATTTCTTGTCTTGTTTTTCTGTGAAAATATCTAAATATGTGCCACCAATATTTTTTTTTTCGTGTTTTAAGCAAACATCAAAGAAAATATAGTCAAAATCAATTTGCGAATGAAGTGAGAAATATATATGCAATTAAATGTGTCTTCTTGATAGGCTGATTGCTTTCTCTGATATAATGAAAGCTTTCATCTAAATCAAATAATAAAATAATTAATTTAATATATAATTATTTAAAATGTAAACAAAAAGACAATAAAATAAAAAAAAAAAACAGTTTATTTTATTAGTTCTTGTCTTATTTTTCAGTGAAAATATCTAAATATGTGCCACCAATATATAATATTTTTTTTTTCGTGTTTTAAGAGAACATCAAAGAAAATATAGTCAAAATCAATTTGCAAATGAAGTGAGAAATATACATTAATAATAATTCTCGATAGGCAGATTGCTTTCTCTGATATAATGGAAGCTTGAATCTAAATAAAATAATAAAATAATTAATTTAATATATAATTATTTAAAATGTAAACAAAGAGACATTAAAAGTTGAAAAAAAAATCTTTATTATTTTTTTGTCTTGTTTTATAGTGAAAATATCTAAATATGTGCCACCAGTATTTGTTTTTTTCACGTTTTAAGCATACATCAAAGAAAATCAAAGGTCAAAATCAATTTGCAAATGAACTAAGAATAAATCTAATTAAATTTGTTTTGCTAGACTGATAAGATAATTATAACTATAGTTAACATATTTAAATATATGGCACTAAAAGTTTTTTTTTCTTTCTTGTTATAAGAAAATAAGAATCAATTTGCCAATGGGTAAGGAAATAAAATGGCCTAAAAACTTGTTGCTAGACAGACTCTGATGCAATGGAGGCTTTAATCTAAATAGTATAATGCAATATTTGTTTTAAGTAATTATTTCAAATGTATTAATAAATAAAGAACAAATATTTTTTATTGTTATTTATGTCTAATAAATATTTAATGTCAATGCATTTATTTGTTTAAAACCCTATGTTTTCGTTTTTACCTATTGTTCCTGGATTTATTTAGTAATTCATTTATTTTTCAGTGAACAAAAATATAGAAGCAAAGTGTAAGGGGCAAGGACAAAGGATAGAATAAAGGCACCGGGAGGTATTTGACCAGGATCTGGAGGAGCTACAGAGACGAGCCAGGAAAAGACAGCGATAGAATAAATTCCCACTCACTTGGAGAACAGCCTTCTTAATTACCCGACCCACATCCTGTCTCCACTCCGGGATGTCCGGGTTGGCCTCGTCCAGATTAGGAGAGAAAGATAAAAGAAGCGATTTGAAGAATTCTGTCACAGAGGAAGAGAGAAGCAGAGACAGACCCTTAATTCTTTCTCTCATAAGATGCCCAATATCTTCTATCTGCTGTGATTTGTTCCAGATGATTTAGTCGAGCTGTAGCAGAGTTATCATTACTGACAGGTATGGAAAGGTTAGTGCTGATCACAAAAATGATTACAGTCTATTTGGCGGTTGCCAGAAGGGAGTTTTTATGACTAGATTGCAGTGTCAAGAGACAATTTCCTGTAATTCTGAACACTCTGAAAGCTGCAATAATACATTTCATCAAGGGTAGGGTTATTTATAGTCAGTGGTCGAATTGTAAAAATATTTCAGGGGGGTCAGTTTCTTTTTTCGGCGGGATGGGGGGGTTGTTCCTGTAGCTAATTTTACATAATGATTACAACATTTGTGTGATTTTTAAAAAGGTTTTTATTTAATGAAAAATTAGCCTTATTAAATGAACTATTATTTATACGCTTTTTTCCTTCTGGTGCCTGAAATGGAGGAATTTTGGTCAATATTTTGCTAAATGTGTTTTTGTGCTGGTAGTGCTGGCACCTTGGGCTGGTTTAGGCCTGTCATGGATAAATAATGATGACAATAAAACCGCCAGTAGGTGGCAGCAAGTCCATGTTTTAATAAATGATTAATTGAATCATTCAAATCAAACGATTCGTTCAAAACGGCTGATTCAATTAGAAACGAAATAAGTGAGTCCATCTGAATGGACTGTTGAATCACTGGCTCACTCGATTCAACATCGTTCAAAATCGAATTAATTCAAGGAACGAAACACCGTGTTGTTATGCACTGTTGTATAAAATTAATAGCACATTTGTCCTCGCGCACATATGCTGAAATTCAGAAAAGTGCATTGCTTGTGCAATGAATATAAAAACGTAAAAACTCATACATGGGTATTTTTTTCTTTCATTGCTTGAATTATAAGGGCATTCATCGCACAGTGAATGCTTTTGGACTCTCAAGACATGTTTTTGTTTGGTTTTTGCAAAGTCGGTGACTCGATTATGTCAGCTCTACTGTCGTCTCTCAATCCATCACAGTCACACATAGAGCACAATAACATAATGTCGGGGAATGTCTTTAAATTATAATCAAGGAAAAATCTTTCTGTTGTGCTTTTAAAGAACTTCAAAAGTTGCGCTTGAACCATTTTGCACGAAAAATGACGAAAACTTGCTTCCGCTTGTGAGCAAGCTTTGTTACAGTACCGAGTTCTGAATGGCCAATTGCCGCTATTTAGTTTGTGAATTATCATAAGTAGAGAATTTTAACATTTCATTTGCATGATAAATTTTACATAATACACATTATTAATCTAAAAAGGATGGTAAGGGGGGATGGTGGTTTTACCAAGGGGATGCTTTTTGATATTTTTTTCAACCAGGGGGATGCCATCCCCCCGCATCCCCCCTCAATTCGAGCCCTGTTTATAGTTACATATACAGTAAATTATTGTTACCATAGAGAAAAAAAAAGTAAAGAGGAAAAAGTAACTTGAAACATAGGCCTTTGTACAGTATTTACGTAGCATAAGAAACCTCACATTCACAATTTGTCATTACACATCCTTCAAATAACATTAATGTGACTATATTAACTATATTTAATGTCTCATTGAGCACATACTGTTGAATTGTGAACTATGCACTTTTGGAAAAATTATTCACTAGTTTATCAACTTCCTCCATAATAGCAATGTTAAAATGGTCATGAATGTATCACAGGATAATTGTTTTAGTGTGTCAGAAAATCGTCCATATTTCTGCCACGTCACAAATCAAGCATTCTGTGAAATAGAATTATGTTGTCAAAGGTATGGTAATGAAAGTGATCTCAAAAATTATTATAATAAACTGGTTGAGGCTAATTTTAGAGATAGACACAATTATCATAAATACAAAACACAAGATTAAATTAGAAATAACCCATATTAAAAAGAAATACACACACCTATCTATCTATCTATCTATCTATCTATCTATCTACACACACACACACGTGTGTGTGTGTGTGTGTGTGTGTGTGTGTGTGCGTGTCTGGTCAAATGATATTTACCTATCTATTAGGAAGAGTTGGAAATGGCTTGAACTCTTGCTACTGTAAATGCTCTAAAATTCTCAATGTTTATTTATTTACTTATTTATTTTCTGAGTATTTAGCAAGTATGCAAGTTAGTTTATTTTGCTGGTCTTTATTTTGTGGACTTTATTATTATTATTATTATTATTATTACAAATTATTTTAATTTTTGTATCTTTTATATATATTTTTAAGGATGCACAAGGTTCACAAAATAATTATTGTAACTTTTTTTATTTTATTTATTTATTTTAATTATTGTCAAAAAAAAAAAAATATATATATATATATTTTATATAATGGACTTCTGTATTATATGATTGAAATTCTGGAGTAAAACAAAAAATAAACATGAAAAGCATAGCAAAAAAAATTGATAACAGCATGATGGAAAGTTTCCCAGACATTTTTAATGTGACCTTGCCATAAAAAAAAAAAAAAAAAAAAAAAAAAAAAAAAAAAAAAAAAAAAAAAAAAAGAAATCTAAAGTGCAGAACCTGTCATCAGTACCATGTCATATCTGTCTGAATGTGAACACTCACCTTGTATGGCGATGCTTCTGGTGTCCTGTAGTATAGAGTCTCCTGATGAGACCTGAACAGTGACGGTGACCATGCCCTCGGTGCTGAACGTGTGGGAAATACTGCTGTCCAATGTAATGATGGGCTAGCGCCACAAACATAGTGCATACAAAACAATAACAATCCAAATTTAAGCCATAGATGTTTTGGTATTTGTAAGCTCAATGACTTTCTTAAAAAGGAAACTCTTTTAAAATGAATAGCGCCAATGGCTTTATTGATGTTTCAGGGCGAACAAGCATAAACTAAAGAACACATCTAAATACCACAAAAATGACAAGAACAAGAACTACATTATTAACGGTTCATTGCTCCTGTTCTGTTTATCTTCTACCGTAAAATGTCTCGGAGGCCTTCGCCCAACAAAGCGAGGCAGAAAATCTGTAATTAGGAGCTGGTTGTACCTCCGTGTTGTTCCCCAGCCACCAGAAATAGGTGAGCGTTCTGAAATGAGAAGGCCAGACCACTGCCGTCAAGTTCACCTCCTTATTCTTAATGACTACATATGGAGCCAGCAGCTGAATATGCTCCACAGGGTCTGAAACACACACACACACACACACACACACACACAGGTTTGTTTTTATGGTTTATGGGGACTCTCCATAGGCCAATACAAGAACAGCAAACAGCGCAAGGGGTGAGCAAAAACTAAATATTTCACAAAAACAACTAGCCGGTGGGATGAATAACTAGTCGACTATTTGGTCTTGTATAATTAGGCTGGTTTCGGCTTCACCTGACCCCGATTGGATGCTGTTCAAACACAGCTAGACGGAAAGCAAGGGAATGGAAACAGAATGCAGGGATCTTGAGACCTGTTTTTAAAAGTTTGAGTATTTTTAACTTGGCACGGCATTTTAAAAATGCAACACTCGCAGTGGGACGTTCGGAATAAATAAATAAAACAGTGCCAAGAAGTCAGTCAACAAGTAACTTTTCCAATAGAGTTTTGATGGGCTAACAGTCTAACACCCAAAGCACAGTATTAGCACTAAAAATGAAGTATTAGCACTAAAAATGTCAAAACTGGAAAAAAAAAATACAGAAATAATATCAAGCGTAGTGTTAGTTCTGGCAGGTCACGTTAGTCAAGCTCGCATCAGCTGACTCTCAGCTGATCCCCATCAGCCTATGGGAATACGACACCTATCTAAGCATTCATATATAAGGTCCCTCAGTATTATCAGCAGTTTTCACATTGCTCAATAGCTAATTACCCTCCTCCATCCCCAACTCCTCCTCTGTCAGTCGGGATTCAGCCTTCTGATTCTCCTTTGAATCAGACTAATTCTAAAATATGTACATAAAATTATTGAACTTTAACAATATCTGCAATACATTTATGTTGGTTCTGTTCTGTTTACCCTGGGGTGTTATCGCTGCTCTCCCTGCTCTCATCCATGCTATAGGCTGCATGGAGGCGCAGGGAGTTCTTGCCCAGAACAGAACCATACCGCCAATCCAAACTGTATGCTAATTGTCAATCATCTTTGACAATAGTGGTCCTGACAGAAATACTGTAGATAAACTATTTGGACAACTAGACAACCATTGTTACCCATATCTAGTAAGTCTGTACAAACACATGAATAAATACTAATAATAAATATAAATATATATTTATAAATATTACTTCTGTCACCATTTATTCACTCATCTGAGATCTTTACGCAATGTTTACTCCTCCCTGGGTGCAATTCTTTGTTTCTTTTTTAAATAGCCTAACCAATATTCATTGTATTAAATAATTCTGCTTCAGTATTTAATGCACATCAGGAAATACAATTTGGAGCTAATTGCTCTCATCTGATCACAAGTGCCCACCCCTTGTTTGTTTGTGAAAAGTGGAGCTAAAAGCAGTAATTGAGCACCTCAGTGTACTACACCTGTGGAGTTGAAGGACACATGCAGATTTTGGCAGAGCAACTATGAAAGTCACCTACCTAGAGTAGTGTGCTCAGTTTGTGTTTAAGAGATGCTTATTCAAAGTTTGCTAACCAGTGCCCAGCCACTTTATTGCCTGTGTGGCTACCAATTTTTTTTTTACCAAAGATTTATTTAACATAGTAGACAAGACAGCCTCTTAGTATTTGTTGTATAATTTGTGCTCTTTTGCCGGCTCGATAGAGTAGGATACTGGTTCATAATTGGGCCAATTAGTGAAATAACACTTTTTATTGCATTTTTGTTTTAATCAGTATTACTCTTGTTTATCTTTTTGTTCCATTTTTGTTCCATTTTAAAACTATCTAAATATCTTTAAGAAATATAAACAATAATAATAAAAAATAAATATTAAAACTTATTTTCAGAGAGCATATGATAAATTAGTCTGTTTTCTTCTACTGTTTTTTTTTATTGGTTTTAATCTATTTATAAATTGCACTTACAGATAATAATAGTAATTAAAAAAAGGTCACTTAAGTGTACTTAAAGAGAGTTTCTTGACTTATTTCATGACGTCTTAACACAAAATGCACTTGGAAAAAATATATATTAAATATTATCATATATATATATATATATATATATATATATATATACATATATTAAAAACAATATAATCATATTGGTTTATTTTTATTGCTTTATTGCTTGTCAGTGCAGCAGTACACTATAATTACTTCTAAAGACAACATAAGTAATTATGAAATTGCATACATTACATTAAATTACATATATAGACATACCAAAGTTATTCTTACATAGGTTAAAAAAGCAACATGAAGTTCAGCTAACTGCAATCAATATACATGAATAATAATTTTAATTGAACTGCAATTGACAATTAGATGAAATGAATAAAACCAACTGTCTACATTTTAGTATATTATTTTAAAGCATATTATTTATGCAATAATTACTCTTTTTAAAAGTATGCTAAAGTGTACTTTTTCCACAAGGGTATATCTACCAACATTTAGTGAAGTTAAAGCTTGGACTAATTGACTTTGCCAAAGAGGTAGGAAAAATAAACTTAATTCAAGATATATTCTCTGACAAACAAGTCTTATTATCTTAAACAATACTACACACAAATAAATTCATCAAAGATGTTAAGGTATTTTTACTAAAAGTTAAGACAAAAATACTACAATAACATTATAGTATAATGTTTTGGTACCTCAGCAAACTGGAGAATGTTTTATAACGCACCTGAAATAACTTCCCAACTTCATGTAGACTAAAAATACACACTGAAGTAGGCGCTCATTTGTGCGTGTGTGTGTGTGTGTGCGTGAAACCTACACGTCACATGCAGGTGGAGGGATGACGTGTCGAACCCGAGGCTGTTCTCCGCAAGCGTTGTTACTCTGAAGATGCCTGCGCTGCGGTACACGTGCCGGATGCCCTCCTGCGTCCAGCTCAGATTGGAGTAGGACACGGCCGTACCGTCTCCAAAGTCCAGCTGAATGTTTGTTCTCATAGAGTCGCCCTAAAAACAAGACGCAGAGCCAAGTCTGATTATTACAACAACTCTTTAGCACACTTTCCTTAATCACTGAGTCTGGCAGCTGTGGGTAACGTCACCATTCTGCTCCACAGACACAAGCAGTGTTTTCAGCCCTGGAGTTCATTCCTGCCATAACTCTGTCTCAAATATGAGATGAGGTGTGTGAAACCAGGCACAGGAGCCGCTTATTTACAGAGAAAACAGTCACTGCGTCAAATGAATGACCTCTCAGCATGTATTTCAGCTTCCTGTGGGAACCCATCATATTACTTTTGATATGTAATATATACTTGATACTCTATATTGTGTTGGTTTGGCTTGCTCAGATATCCTGATGGGTCAATTGCAATCCACCGCAATCATAATTGCTGTTTACAAGATACGATATTGCATATGGAATATAACCATAAATATGACTCATATGGCTCTGAGCAAGTCTTCTGTAAATCTGTATTCTGCCATTTTGTAAGCTAAAAGAACTATATTATTATTATTATTTTATTATTCAGTTGAATATGTGGGTGTGATTACATGGAGGAAATCATGAATCCTCCGTAAATTAAATTTCTTATTTCTATTTAATCCAATCCAAACAGTAATAACAGTCTGCCATATATAGACTTGCAACTATTGGTATAAATCATACAATATAATTTACATCTAAAATATTCCAATATTATACTTTATTATATAAAGTGTAGACTGTTTAACACTATTGCAAAATAAAATCTGTTTATTGGCTTCATGGTGAAAGTTTTCCTGCACACAGTACATCAGACTACAGAAAACAAATTTTTTTTATTCATTTTTTTATTAATTATTATTAACGGACTTAAAAAACACAAGGAATCTGCACATGCTTAAATCAGATAGTAAGGTTAGGAGAACCTTTTTAACTTTAACTACAGTTATATTAAAATGCTGGTTAAATAAAATCAAAAGCTGTAAAATGTCATGATATATTTTTAGGTATATTATGTGATCAGCTAGGTACAAAAAAGAAGGCAAACCTCACCCCATTAAATAATAATAATAATAATAATAATAATAATAATAATAATATTAATAATAATAATAATAATAATAATAATAATAATAATAATAATAATAATAATAATAATAATAATAATAATAATAATAATAATAATAATAATAATAATAATAATAATAATAATAATAATAATAATAATAATAATAATAATAATAATAATAATAATAATAATA